AAGCTTTTTTGATATAAAAAATGTTATATCAATGCAAACACAATAATTATATGATGGCATACGTTAAAAAAATGAATCCGATCCGTATTGTGAGATATTTATGTTCAAATAACATAGATATTCATTCGTACATAAATATCCGGCATTCTGAATCCTTTCAAGAAATCATTTTTTCTGCAAATTGTGTTCGTTGTTTACAATTTGTTTCATTGATTCTATACGGAAATTAAAATTCAATGCCTTGATAGTATTAAAATGATTTCCCATTTAGTTTCATTACTTATCTTCTGTATGCACGACATTATCTTCTGTATTACATTTCGTTTGATTGATTTTAGAAAATTTTTGCACTCTCTTTAATTAGCAGTCACTTTCTTTATTAAGTTATTAACAGAGATTAAAATTCAATGCCTAAATAATGTGATTTAACGAGAGTACTACTTCGTTTTCGAATAATGGATAATGTGATAGCAGCCGGTGTAGGAAAGGCTTATATAATGGAACTGTATCCTTTAGAAAGGACTTGAAATTGATTTTTTCGGCTGAATGATACTCAAGATAAAGTAGCAGAAAAAGAATTCCATCACTTCAAAAGAATTTCTTTTATAGTTATATCTTCTATTATCAGCTGCACTTAATTATCACTTAGGAAGTCATGGCACTAACTGTCATGGAAACCAGAAGAAAATATTATACTATCGGCAAAGACAGTAGAAGACTCTCTGCAAAAATATAGAGAAGCGAAATCCTTGTTGAATAAAGTACTGGTAAATCATTTGAAGTGATAAAAATTTCAATATTAAATTACGTGAGCAGAGTTGGGAAGATATAGGCCAAATGAAAATTCTTGGCATTGCTTGCATTCCAGTAGAAATCATCCAGCACATTCTAAAATCATGCTGAAAAATTAGTCAGGAAGATGATTTTACAATTAATAGCTTATCAGAATGATCCACTGGGATTTCTAATTCTATGATGATGAAATTCAAATTGCTTTTTCAAAATGAAGAGTAATTTACGGATCAATAAATGAAAAGGACAAAGAACATGAAATTTTTTATTATGTAAACAGGCGAAATGAAATTACTTAACAAATGTGAAGGGATTGCCACCAATCGTAATAAATGTGTATTTATGTCCTCACAATATATCAACTGTGGCATATTCAGCGACTGCAAATGTAAATTTTATGGAACTCAAGAAGCAAAGATAATCGTAATTCCTACAGATCTAGATGTCACAGTACGATCATCGTGATTTGCAATAAAACAATCAGTTATCGAGAATACTCTGTATCTTTACGAAATGTCAGAAAGTTATGAAAACGATTAATTTGCAATTCTTCCCTATCATTTTATTAAGTGCTATCAGTGCATTTTGCGTCATATTAATACCTTGACATTCCTTTTTTCTGCACCCTTTTCCAATATTTTCGATCCCTCTCTTGTTTGCGAACATTTATTGCTACGGAATTAACTCACTTCATTTCAATGAAAACGAAGCACACCGAACCGGAATAATCTTCATCTCTTCATAAGCATCACTATATCTTTAACCTTATCCTCATTATTTTCTTTTTTTATTTCTCCATATGACAGCCCAAATTATTTGTGAAACTATAAAAATGATCAGAATTGTAATTACTATGTTCAATCAAAATTCATCAAATATTAAATAGCATTTTATCACATAAACATCGTTTCGATGTTTTGCTATGAATTATTGGAGAAAATTTTGTTCGTACCTTTAATTAAAGTACCTTTAATTAAAATGTTATATTATAATAATTACTATATGATAAAGCAAAGAAAGTTTGTTACAATTAAAATCATTTCATTTATCATTTTATACTAACATTTATCTATCTTTCTTTAATAAATTTGGTATATTCAATCCTTCACCATTCATCTCCTTATCTGATAAGTTATCGAATAGCTAAGTGATTTTATCTTTCAATTTTTCACTTATTAAACATTGATAAGACTATTGTCGTATTCAATTTGCCTCCACAGGCTTTTAAAATTCAAATTCATTATTATCGTTATTTGATATTATTCATTTAGTAAAAGTGAATAGGTTACGATGAAAGCCTATGGCGAAGGCATTCCACTTGCACATAAACAAACCTATAAATAAGTGCATGCAGGTAGCAAGTTACTTTGAAAATTGCATTCATTTAGTCCATGAACTTAGTTTCTAATTACTTTCTCTAATGGCCTTAATTTTAATGACTTATATAACTTCTTTTGATGGAAGGGATAACTTATTGGTATATATACACATCCACACAATATCAGTGGTTTTTTATCACGATATGATGCCATGTTCATTTTAAAATAAACCTGCAGAATATTCAGTCTTGAGATGGAGTTGACAGTGTCTTCAGCCATCAGAAAAGAAATTTCAGAAAAGACAAAACGGTGAATGGATCCACAAAATGTTTGCCATCCATTGGTTGCGATGAGTGTAGAAGATATTAAATTCAACTGAAATTGTTGCTATTGTAATCTGACGAATTTTTTGAAATTCTCAGGACTAATGAAGAAACAGCTTTGACATATGCTTTATTCCAAAAATTTTTTCTGCTACGTTTTCTTTGAATCGCTGATTCAAATTCCTCAATTGACTTCGAAAAACGTGATGGCAACTACAAAGCCCAACGTATTGGAAAACATGTTTGCACTTCTTTGTATTGCTGTGGTAAGTTCGATTTTTAACCTTACTTACATTTCTTTTGCCTACTCACAAAGAGAAACATTACTCTTTCGAAGTTCTGAGGGAATCAGCTAAGCGAATCAGCTAGTTATGTTTAAGCCAAGTTCCCGTAAATATATGATTTGATAAAACAAGAATTATCAGAAGTATCAATAATACCAAGCCAATACATTGTCATTCACCGGAGTTCTTAAACTGGTCGCAGTAATATGAAGTAACATATAATGCCAACACATTATCCCTTCATATAGATTTATAGGGATAATGCCCTGCGGCGATCAATCAGTCACTCCACCATGGCAGGATTTCATTTCGCTTAATTCCATTTTTGTTACAGGTATCGTTATTCGGATTTGTCGGCAATGGTTTATCACTTTATATCACAGCTACAAATTCACATTTTCAGAATGCCTATGGCACTCTCCGTACGACATTTTTGTTGTGTAATATACAAACAATATCAGTTTTATCGATTTGGAGCGCTGTTGTTCTACTAACGTAATATTTATTACACATAATTTGTCGCATTTGTTCACATAAGGTTAGCAGGAATTGCAGTTAGCTGCAATTCCATTAATTTGATAGCTAGTGATCCCTAGATTTAATCAATTGTAATTTCAGGGATTCTCGTGAACTATCATCACCGACATATTTCATAGCCTTAATACCCGGATGCTTGGCAAATGTGTTTTTTTACGGAGCAATATTGGTAAATTTGTTAATTGCGGTGAATAGATACTGCGCATTTGCATATCCTCTGAACTATCACTTTTATTGGACCGTACCGAAAGCTCGCTGTGCGGGAATTATTGTCTATTTCTTCGGGTTTCTACCGTGTTTGCCTAGCATTTTCGGTAAAGTTTTTGTAAGATCATCCAAGAGAAAGTAAATTATCTTGTCATGATCAGTGGAACAAAATGATTTATCAAGATTATAATTTAAAATTGTAAAATTTGGTTGTCGAACAGTAGGATCTTGTGTTTACAGAACCATGTACCCTTATTTTTAATGCGGAGTTGGATTTCCGTTGGAGCTACAGCAACACGGGTTGCGGTGACATAAATTCGATGTTCGACACAGTGTTCACTGTTTCAATGATGATCATAGCGGGATGCATCGATTTCATGACGTTTTTGAGGATTAGAAGTCACAGTAAAGTTACGATTTGTCATTATTTTCATTAGTTATCTGCGATAAGAGCTTGAGCTTGCAGTTAATGTTTAAATACATAAAATATGAGGTATTTTTTACTTAAAAGTATCGATGATATTTTTGGAATTAAAGCGAAGTAACTGTTTGGATTGAATGTATTTTTAACATCTAATAAATTTCATATTAAATTTTACTTGAAATTTTCAACCAAATAATCGATTCAACAAATTTAAACGTAATCGCTGGTTGCACTAAGGAAATTATTTGCACCGAGTTTTTCAGTTAAGAATAGTACAAAGACTGACGACGCGTTCTTCCAACCGTAAGAATGACATATACTTTTTTAAACAGGCAAGTATACAAACATTGGAATTATTGGGTGAATAATTAAATTAAACAACAAATTGTGATAAATATTATAATGACCCCGGTTGTCAAGTCGCACAGCTATAAATTGTTTATTCGCACAGCTATAAATTATTTATTCGTTTCCAGTCGTGTATCAGTGGACTTACGATGGTCACAGCTGCTCTTGTCTTTAATATTGGTCAACAATTACTGACCAATAAATGGACTTTATTTGCTGCCACGACAATTAATTGGGTAGTAACGCATGCGTTGGATGGGTGAGAAATTTTCTGCCATCTATTAAAAGTCTAAAAACAATTTGTTTTCCTTCATCTTTCTTTCACCGCGGTAATGCAACAACTCCCAATGCACTTATAGAAATAACAGCACTTACCGATTTCTTTTACGCTATTTATACTATGTTATATTAAGTTCAATCTGAATATGATTAATGTTCGGTGAATGAGTGCTGGAGCTACTTAAAATTTAACGAAGTTTATTTTCAGATTTGTTATATTGATCTTCAACCGATACTACATGGACGGTTCATGAATGAACAGTTCTCGGTGAACAGTGCGAGTTGTGACCAGACGAAATCACAGAATTGCAATATTTCCACTAGAACATTTTGCTTCGTTTAGTTACAGTATGTTCAGTTGCAATAGTTCCACACAAATGCTATTATAACCTGCGCAATAGTCTCTTTCTCGCACTGTTTGAGAGTTCCCAGAAAAATTCCACAACAGAATTTTACCAAAATTCAGTTGTAATTTTCTTGCTTTAAATGCTCCATTTTCCTTGCTTGTATTGAAGGATTGCCTTCATTTGATATCAAAATTAACTTGAAATGATTCATTCTATAATTTTTTTGTTTTCTTATCTGAAATTTATTCCTTTTGAAATTTTCCTACAGTAGTAATCAGAGGAATTGTGCAAATATCACTCTAAGATTTAATATTATTTTTATTCGGAAGTTCAAATTGTGTTGAACTTTGGCGCAAATGTCCTTTTCCGGAAATATGCTTTAATATATTAAAAAAAATTATGAGAAGGCAGCTAACTAGCCCAACGAAGAGTGACTGTTACACTGAAGAATTGTTGCACTGACATAGTAATTGTTGAATTGATGTGCAGGAATTTCGAAGCATTTAATGATCCATTTGCTCAACATGTCATCAGTTAAAAATTTTTGTATTATAATGGATGTTCGAAAGATTGAGAAGAAATTTTGTTCAAAAAGATTCTTCCAAAAATTTTGCTTAAATTTATTTTTGAAATTCAAAATCATTAAATATTCTCGACGTAAAATGCAAAAAAGTCATAAGCGATTCTGCAAGTCATCAGAAGTTCAATAAGTTATAAATGGCTCAATAGGTCAAAAAAATTCGAAAAAGTCATTCAACAAATCATGAACGGTTCGACAAGTTGTAGATGATTCGACAAGCCAGAAACGTTTCAACAAGTTGTAAACATCATTGCTATTGCCAAACATCATTGCCAATCTCGCATCAGCGGTCTTATTGTGATCAAATTTACGCTCTTATTGAATATTGGCCAACATTTTCTAACAGATGGACTTTATGTACTACGAGTTTTTTTATCATCCACTAAAAAAAGTCTTATCTCCTTCATTCCTCTGATGCAATTCTCAGTTGCTCTGATGCAGATTGTATTTATTCCCTTCTTAAGTCAAATATAGAGTAATACTATTATGCAAAAGGTAATTATAAGCAGGATACATTCAGAAAGGCCTGTTAAGATTTATATGAACTGATGCAAAGTGAAGTGAAGTGAAGAGAACCAGAATAACATCATACATAGTAAGAGCAAGACTATGACGATCGACCTAGTTATTCTCAACAATTCAGTGATCCAAATGAGATCCACATAATTCCCAATGAAAAATGTTATCTATCTTCAGATAGAAAAGTGATGACCTCTGAGTGCATGCAAATTGAACTATAATTTTTTCACTTTATTTTTTGTTAGGTTGGTTTTTCTTTGTTTTGTTTACTGCATGGCTAATATGGAAATGTTTTGTATGATTTCACCAGTATAATTATTATGATATTGCTTTCTCTTCCTAATATGTGGGAGAGGGGACCTTATTGTCATTAAATAAATATGTATGCATCTTAAATATGTATGTGTATGTATCTTTGTATGTATCTTTAATAAATATGTATGTATCTTTAATTTCTTTTTCTTTTGTCTTATTGCCAGCACTATCATTTCCGGAACTATATTAAAGAGGAGTAGGCAATTAGAGATAGGGAGAAATGGATTGCATTTTTATTTTGTTCCTGTATGTATCAGAAATAATTCTAGTGCTCTGTCACCTTTTATACACTATCAGATTCAAAATATGACCTGTTATTGTTATGTTTCACATTACGATTTTCAGCCCAAATGATATTACATACATTTTCAAAGGCCTTTTCTATATCTCATCAAGTAATTAGGCCATTTGCAGCTAAGTTTTGTAATGTAATTGGTTATGTTAAATGTTTTTCCTGCTATTCAGTTACCTTTGTATCCCTCATATTGTATTATATTATATATTGTATTATAATGTATATTGTTTATATTGTATTATATTGTACTCATATTGTATCCCTCATATTCACTTTGTCATAGTGAATAATTTGTTGGATATAATAGTGTGACCATTTTGTTATGAAGTTATTTCAATTTTATATCCATAACTAATACAGTCTCTTTGCTTTATTCTTCCCTAGCTTTCTTTTTCAGGATTCAGTCTTATGAAAGAATTTTGTAGTCTGTTTCCTCTTCTCATTTCTTTCGAATAATGTTTATAATATGTTTACTTGTTCTTTCAAAGTCTAATAGTATTTACCTATTATTTATTATTTACCAATTTATTTATTATTTATTATTTACCTATTTACCTATAAATGATATATTATTATGGTATATTTACTTTTCTTTCAAAATCTGATAGTATTTACCTATTTTTTTTATCATCAATACTGTTCATTTAAAGCTCATTTAGGTTCATTTTCCAACATTATACTGTTTTCATTGTTCTATTAATGCTGTTAATTTCTAAGTTTAAAGTTGTCTCTTATTAAATTCCCATGCTGTCATATCATTATGTACACTTATTCAGGACAATGTTTTCTATTTCTTCTTTGTTATGATTTTGCTCAATGCTTCATTTTCATCATTTGATTTTCCTGCTTTGTCTTTAGGATCAGATTTCAATTATGTATATCTTTACGAAGAATTTTTTAGCTTTATTTTAGGATTTTATCTATTTTCCTTCGATATTCAAAATTCCCTCTTTTGTCTTTATTTTAATTTGTTAATTTTTATTATTGAATAGCTGCTACTTCAGTTCATTATTCCATTAAGATATGTCTTATAAAAGATATGATTTTTCATATATTCCAGAAATTTTGTATTTTTTTCTTTTCATTAGTTATCCTCTTTCATGCAATTATTTTTCTGATTATTCAATCATTCAACTAAATATCATTTTAATAATTCATCATTTAAGCCTGTATTTTACAGGTGGAATTTTTAATATGATGAATTATGTTAAATGTTTTTAATAATAAATTATCCTTTTGTTTCTCATTTAAATCCAACTTTGTCATAGTAAATGATTTCTTGAACATATATGACAATGTATCGGAGGTGTCAATCATCAATACTCATTTCAATAAATTTATTACTGTTATAGTCCTTCACTGACTCTAGTTCCATTAACTGGTCATTTGTTTCTCTTTCTAGATATTAGGGATCTTTATTTTATTTTTGTTTGCCTGATACCATGGTTGCAATTAGTTTAGTGCTTACTGATCTACTTATAGATTGTCTCTTATATATGTATACTGAGAATTTGGTTATATTTTATCTCTGTATTTTATTCTATCTATTTCGCTATCCATCTTTCTATTTCTATTTCTCCTCCATTATTGACAATTCTCTTTCCGTTTCTGTATATTATCTTTCCTGTCCCTTTCCATTCATCCCTAAATTTTGGTCATCAGAAGAAAAAGAATAGTTACTGTATTACTGAGAGAACGTACATAAAAAAGGAAACGAAGAGAAGAGAAGAGAAAGTTGATATAATATAATGGGCTTAGGAGAAAGGAGAGAATGAAAAGGATGGTAGATACATGATAAACAGGAGAGGGTGACGAATATTGTTGCAAGAGAGTAGTAAACAAATGATATTGCATTATTGTCGTTATGTTGCTATTGTAGAAAAGGGTACTGGTAAATTATCGGGATGCGATAGCCTTATTATGTTTATATGTCAATGTTTGGCGTTTTTGAAAAGTTTTTCTTTTCATTCCACGTTTACTCGATCTTTACACGTATGCTTTGAAGGTCTTAATAAGGTCATAATAAGGTCCTTTAAAGATCACGCCATACTTCATTTACATAATTTTGCAGATTAGAATTTCAAATTTTCAGATACGCATTATTTGCATCATATTAAGAGGCTGTTGAGATATTTTCTAAATAATATAATTTAATGTAGATGCTTGGTTCCTAAAATTTTGCCTTGTTTTGTGATGGAGAAACTTCTACTGTAGCTGTAATGAAGCCTAAAATGAATGTTCTTCAAATCAATGAAGTGGCTTCAGACTGATAAACAATTACGACAAAATCAAGTATTGTTTATGATTCTTCAGCGCGTCTTAAAGGAAGAAAAGCCATCACGATGTTATACCGTTAACCAGCAGTATTTCCAGATTCAATGAAATGATGGAAAATGTGATAACATTCGGTGTCGAAAAAGCATATATATATATATAAATTTTGCCTTGTTTTGTGATGGAGAAACTTCTACCGTAGCTGTAATGAAGCAGCCTAAAATGAATGTTCTTATATATATATATCAAAATGATCCTCCCGCCCTTTTATAATTAACAAGATTCCTTTCTTGGCAACTTTTGATCAAGTAGAGTTAAATTAATTCCTTTTATTTTTTCGAGAAGTTTTTCTATCTTTTCTTTCGCCAGGTGCACGTATTAAATTATACTGGCAGATATCTTCCCATCGCGGCACCAAATAAATTGTGAATGTGTTTTTAGATTTGTGTAAAGATGTTGAATGAGTTTTGATGAAGATTTTTTTGATCGATGGACAGTTTGTTCTTCTTGAAAATTTTAAGAGAATCATTATCGAACATCACAGAATAGAGTAAGGACTACTGGTATGGTGAATGGGCACTACTTGCAGTTTTTAAGGATTCAAAGATCAAAGAGCAGGCAACGAATCATTTCAAGACCTTTTGATAAACGAAACATATTATTCATAAAGCATTTGAATTCAAAGGTCAGGAGAAGTGAAATAAATTAGAAAGAATTATTTGCTAAACGCTTATTAGCAAATAAAGAATCATTTGAAATAGAACATTCTAGAAAAACAATTTCTGTAGTTTTTTATAAAATTTACCACCCTTTTTTCAAGTTCAATCAGTTTTACTATATTATTTGTGAAACTTGCTTAAGCAAGTTCATCATATGATCATAAAAGTAACTTAATACTGTACCCATAATTTTTCGGGAAATTATATATCGAAATATCGGTCTAGGTTTTGTTAAATTTATCATATATCAACTTGAACGGAAATTGTACTATTTTTAAAAATTGATATGCTATTTTAAATCCCTAATCGATAAAATATAAGAAATTTGAATTCTTTTGACCGGAAGCATTTAAAAATTTTTTAAATAAAGCTTCTGAAAATACAGTATCCGTATGGCAAAAATAATGAGGTGAAAATAGTATTTCTATTCATTCGGCCAGTTTTCTCATCACTTATAAATTCTTCCTTTAAATTGAAAATGATTTTGTGAAAGTTATAAAAATGTCCGGAATTATAATTTACTATGTTCAATTAAAATTCATCAAATATTAAATAGCATTTTATCACATAAACATCGTTTCGATGTTTTGCTATGAATTATTGGAGAAAATTTTGTTCGTACTTTTAATTAAAATGTTATATTATAATAATTACTATATGATAAAGCGAAGAAAGTTTGTTACAATTCAAACCATTATTTCATTCATCATTTCATGCCAACATTTATCTATCTTTCATTAATACTTTTTGTATAATCAACCCTTCATCTATTTTACTTCTTATCTGATAAGCTATCGAATAGCTAAGTGATTTTATCTTTCAATTTTTCACTTATTAAACATTGATAAGAGTACCATTCAATAATTTTCACAGGCTTTTAAAGCACAAATTCGTTATTATCGTTATTTGATATTATTCATTTGGCTAAAGTAATTAGGTTACGATGGAAGCTTATGACGAAGGCATTTCACTACAACTTGCATATAAACAAACCTATAAATGAGTGGCATACAAGTAGCAAGTTACTTTGAAAATTGCATTCATTTAGTTCATAAACTTGGTTTTAAATTACTTCCTCTAATGGCCTTAATTTTAATGATTTATATATTATCTTTCTCGATGCAAAGGAATAACTTAATGGTACATTAAGTATATACATACTTATTTATATACACACTTAGATAATATAAATCATTTGACAACGTCTTCAGCGATCAGAAAAAAATTTCAGAAAAGGCAAAGCGATGAAAGAATCCACAAAACGTTTGTCATCAATTGGTTGCGATGAATGTGGAAGATTTAAAATTGAACTGAAATTGTTGCTGTGTAGTCTGATGAATTTTTCAAATACTCAAGAAAGCAACGATTTTGACATACGCTTTATTTCAAAACATTCTCCTGCTACGTTTTTTTTGAATCGGCAATTCCTACTTCATAATTAATTCCAAAAAACGTGATGGCAACCACAGAGCCCAGCACATTAGAAAATGCGCTTGCACTTCTTTGTATTACTATGGTAAGCTCAGTTTTAGCTCAAAACATGTTCAGTAATATGAAGTAACATATAATGGAAACAGACTATCCTTTCAAAAACATTTAAGGGACAATGCTCTGTGGCGACCTATTAATCACTCAACCTTGGAACAGGGTTTCATTTCACATAATTCCAATTTTGTTGCAGGTGTCATTATTCGGATTTACCGGCAACGGCTTATCAATTTTTATCACAACTACAAATTCACATTTTCAAAATGCCTATGGCACTCTGCGTACTATAGTTTTGCTGTGTAATATGCAAACAATATTAGTTATACTAATATGGAGCGCTGTTGTTCTATTAACGTAATATTTGTTATGCATAATTTGCCACAACTTTCGTAGAAAATCAGCAGAAATCGTAATTGGATGCGATTCCATTAATTTGATAACTAATGATTTCTAGATTTAATCAATTGTGATTACAGGAATTTCCGTGAACTATCATCACCGACATATTTCACCGCCTTAATACCCGGATGTTTGGCAAATGCGTCTTTTTATGGAGCAATATTGGTGAATTTGTTAATTGCAGCGAATAGATACTGCGCATTTGCATATCCTCTGAACTATCACTTTTATTGGACCGTACCGAAAGCTCGCTGTGCGGGAATTATTGTCTATTTCTTCGGGTTTCTACCGTGTTTGCCTAGCATTTTCGGTAAAGTTTTTGTAAGATCATCCAAGAGAAAGTAAATTATCTTATCATGATCAGTGGAACAAAATGATTTATCAAGATTATAATTTAAAATTATGAAATTTGATTATCGAGCGGTAAGATCTTATCTTTACAGAACCGTGCACCCTTATTTTTAATGCGGAGTTGGATTTCCGTTGGAGCTACAGCAACACGGGTTGCGGTGACATAAATTCGATATTCGACACAGTGTTCGCCAGTTCAATGATGATCATAGCGGCATGCATCGACTTCATGACCCTTTTGTGGATTAGAAGTCACAGTAAAGTAACGATTTGCTATTATTTCATTAATTACCAGCGATAAGAGCTTGCAGTTAAAATTAAAGATCTAGAACATGAGATTTTTTTGCTTAAAAGTATCGATGATATGTTTGGAAGTCAAAGCGAAGTAACTGTTTGGATTGAATGTATTTTTAACATCTAATAAAATTTCATATTCACTTTCACTTGAAATCTTCAACCAAATAATCGGTTCAACAAATTTAAACGCAATCGCTGATTGTACTGAAGAAATTATTTGTACCGAGTTTTTCAGTTACGAACAATACAAAAATTGATGGCGCGTCCTTCCAACCGCAAATATGACATATACTTTTTTAAACAGGCAAGTATACAATCATTGGAATTGTTGGGTGAATAATTAAATTAAACAACAAATTGTGATAAATATTATAATGACCCCGGTTGTTAAGTCGCACAGCTATAAATTGTTTATTGGCACAGTTATAAACTGCTTATTCCTTTTAAGTCGTGTATCAGTGGACTAGCGATGATTACATCTGCTCTTGTCTTTAATATTGGTCAATATTATCTGACAAATAAATGGGCGTTATTTGCTGTCACGACAATTAATTGGGTAACAGTGCATGTATTGGATGGGTGAGAAGTTTTCTGCCATCTACTAAAAGTCTAAAAATAATTTGTTTTCCTTCATCTTTCTTTCACCGCGGTAATGCAACAACTCCCAGTGCACTTATAGAAATAACAGCAGCTACCGATTTCTTTTGCGCTATTTATGCTATGTTATATTAAGTCCAATCTGAATATGATTAATGTTCAGTGAATGAGTGCTGGAGCTACTTAAAATTTAACGAAGTTTATTTGCAGATTTATTGTGTTGGTCTTCAACCGATATTACATAGAGGTTCAGAAATGAATAGTTGGTAAGCCGTGCGAATTGTGACCAGACGAAATCACAAAATTGCAATATTCTCGATTCATATTTTCGATATTTTCGATTCAATCCCACTGGAACATTTTGCTTCGTTTAGCTACAATATGTTCAGTTACATTAAACACACAAATGCTATTATAACCTGCACAATAGTCCCTTTCCCCAATTGTTTGAGAGTTCCCGGAAAATTCCACAACAAAATTTTACCAAAATTCAGTTATAATTTTTTTGCTTTAAAGGCTCCACTTTCCTTGCTTGTATTGAAGGATCGCCTTCATTTGATATTTAAATTAACTTGAAATGATTCATTCTATAATTTTTTTGTTTTCTTATCTTGGAAAAATTTATTCGTGAAATTTTCCTACAGTACTAATCAGAGGAATTGTACAAACATCACTTTAAGATTTAATATCATTTTATTCGGAAGTTTAAATTGTGTTGAACTTTGGCGCAAATGTTCTTTTCCGGAAATATGCATTAAAATATAAAAAAAAAAATTATGAGAAGGCAGCTAATCAACTCAACATAGAGTGATTGCCACACTGATGGAAGGCCGTGAGAATTGTTGCACTGATATAGCAATTGTTAAATCGAGTACTTATTTGTGATTGAATTTCATGGCGAAACAATATAGGTTTGTAATTAGAATTTAGCCTGCGACAATGAATTTAACTTGTGACAATTTTAAAACTTCGACGTCGAGCGCAAAGCAACTTTAAAGCGTTAAATTTATATAGTTGATCCGATAATATCTTTGTCTATTCTGAAAAATTTTCAAAAAAGCTTTTTTTGGCAACACAGGTATTTCTAATGACACTTTGTCGATCACTAAATATTTCTTATTTACATTACATTTGAATTTTGATTTAAAATGAATGATATATGAATGGCGCAAAATGACTGCAAAAATCAGTTCTTATATTGAAAGTAAGAAAATGATTGAAGGTGCTGAAAAACAGGTTATTGGAAAATGAAAATTTGATTGAAGATGTGTTTATTGCGCTTCAATTCGGTGCAATCAGTATTATCATTGTCTACACTAGTGTCGGTGATGCCAGTCAGTATTGTATTATGGATAGTTTTCAATATTGGAATATCACCAGATAGTGATGCGACTCTATCCGTAATATTTTCTGATTGTTGCTTTATACTGTCAGAATGAATAAAAGTCTCTATCAAAGAATAAATTTTCACAACTATTCCACCAACCTCTCCTAAACAATTAAAAATCCACAACAGAAGGATCACTCTTTTATTATTGTAATTTACCCAACCGACCACTCCTGTTTACAGCATTCAGCAGGAAGAAAACGGAAAGATGAGAGAAGGATAAAGCTAAAGTAATTTTTCACTTATTACACATTAATAAGATATTGTCGTGTTCAATGACTTCCACAGGATTTCAAAATTCAAATTCACTACTTGATATTACTCATACAGTTAAAATGAATAGGTTATGAAAGCTTATGACGAAGGCATTTCACTATAACTCGCTTATAACAAACCGATAAATGAGCGTCTACAGGGCTGAACCATGTACTCTTAGAACCATACGGAATTGGATTTCCGTTGGAGCTACAGCAACACGGATTGCGGTGATATATACTCGATGTTCGACGTAATGTTCACTACTTCGATGATGATCATAGCGGGATGCATCGACTTTATGACACTTTTGAGGATTAGAAGTCACAGAAAAGTTACGATTTGCCATTGTTTCATTAATTATCTTCGATAAGAGCTTGAGCTTGAAGTTAATGTTTAAATACATAAAATATGAGGTATTTTTTACTTAAAAGTATCGATGATATTTTTGGAATTAAGGCGAAGTAACTGTTTGGATTGAATGTATTTTTAACATCTAATAAATTTCATATTCAATTTCACTTGAAATTTTCATACAAATATTCGATTCAACAAATATAAATGTATTCACTGATTGCACTAAAGAAATTATTTGCACCGAGTTTTTCAGTTAAGAATAGTACAAAGACTGACGACGCATCCTTCCAACCGCAAAAATGGCATAAACTTTTTTAAACAGGCAAGTATACAAACATAAGAATTATTGGGTGAATAATTAATTAAACAAAAACTGTGATAAAAATTACAATGGCTCCTATTATTAAATTCTAAATAATTTATCGTACAGCTATGAATTGTTTATTCGTTTCCAGTCGTGTATCAATGGACTACGTTGGTCACAGCTGCTCTTGTCTTTAATATTGGTCAACATTTTCTGACTGATAAATGGGCTTTATTTGCTGTCAGGACAATTAATTAGATAACAGTGCATGTATTGGATGGGTGAGAAATTTTTTGCCATCTACCAAAAATCTAGAAATAATTTGCTTTCCTTCGTCTTCCTCTCATCGCGATAATGCAACAACACCCAGTGTACTACAAAAATGACAGCAGGTACACTTGAATTACTTAAAATGAAGGTTTTTACAGAAATAACACGAAGTTTATTTGCAGGTTTATTGTGTTGATCTTCAAACAATATTAATGGACAGTTCATAAATGTATAGTTGTCGATAAACCGTATGAGTTGTGGCCAGACGAAATCACAGAATTGCAATATTTTCGACTCTACTAGAACATTTTGTCTCGTTTATTTGCAATAGTTCCAAAAGTGCCATTATACAAATGCCATTATATCCTGCACGATAGTCTCTTCCCTGAACGCTTAAGAATTCCGGAAAATTCCACAACAGCAATTTACCTAAATTCGGTTGTAATTTTCCTACTTTAAATGCTCGATTTTTCTTGTTTGTATTAAAGGATCGCCATCATTTGACACCTACATTAACTCAAAATGACTCATTCTATAATTTTTCTGTTTTCAACAAGTCATAAACTGTTAATAAGTCATAAACAGATAAACAAATCATAAACAATTGGACAATAAATGCCATCGACAGTTCGGCAAGCCATAAACAGGTTGCAGAAGTCGTAGACGATTTAATTGTAATGTTGAGTTTCATTCAATCATAATTGACAGAATAAAATAATGACAAGTCATGAACTGATTTTTAAAGTTAAACCAAACATTTCAATACTCAATTAAATTTCCCGGAAGAAAATCAATTAAGCTTTATGAGAAAAAAATGTAACAATGTATCAGTGAAATATGAAAAGATTTCCTAATCTTTTTTCTAGCTCGAAGTCTTCGAAAATGATACATCAGCAAGAAGACATCCTATCATTTGAATATAACAAACATCGTTCCCTTATCTTTACCTGTTTTATACTATTTTGTATTAAAGCATATTTCAGCGTATTGTTGAGAATATTTGTGCTTAATTATTTTTAAGCTAAATCAAACATTTTCATAATATCGGAAGATTAGCAACTTTATCAACAGGAAAGTATAATTCGAAACAGATTTCAATCAATTTAAAATCGGAAATTTAAAAAGAATCAAAATAGAAGAATGTGAAGCAGAAAAGAATATACGAATCTAAAATACATATATAAAGAATATAAATACTGGGAAAATTGCACATTGCAGGAAATAAATATTCCGAAATAGTTAAATAATTCGGTAAATCGGCATTTCAATTGTTTTATTTCATTAAATATATGACAAAAAGAAAAGAAAAGCGACTGACCTATCCAATTAGTTAGCCATAAATTTCTATCACAGGCAAACAAACAAATCAATATACAACTAATCTTGAAGAAAAATTTAACTGTACTAATATTATACGGATTATGTCCGGATGAAGCAAAATTTGCATAACAAACGGTCATGATACCTAATAGCCACCCTATTGATTTATCACTATCCTTTC